TTTGGTTTGTATTGAGGTTTGTGTTCAAATTGCTAGTAGAGTGAGTTAAAGGTAGTAATAAATGTTGAGTTTTTGAGGTAGATAGTGATGTTAGTAGTAGGTAATATAGTTGAGATAATTGAGAGGATTCTAGCATAGATTGTATAGTTTATGGAAGGCCATGTTATGAGTTGTATATGAAAAGTTGTGTTTGTGAATAGAATATGCTATATAAAGTTTGCAGTTTGTTCTGTTGTATTAGTATTCTATATTTAGATGCTAAGATAAGTAGTTATATTATGTTTTTTTGAGTTAGTGACTTGTATTATTTTTAATTATTGAGTTGCTATTCTAGGTAGGAAGAGGTCAGTAGTAATATTTACTGTAGAGGCGTTTGGTTGTATAGTAAGATTATTGGTAGTGTTAGTATTGAAAAGTGGATGATGAGTAAGTAAGTTTGTGATGTTTGTTCTCAAGTAGTTTTGTTTAGTAACTTGGATTGGTATAGCATGATCTGTTGAGATTGTGATACTGTATTTGTTATAGTAAGTATTAGTGGTATTAACACAGTGTTGGCATTATGTTAGTAGGTTGTTGTTATTATTAGATAGATTCTAGTGAAATATTTTAATTAAGTTGTTATTTTTGCTAGTAATTTTCTCTATTATTATTTGAGAGTTGATGTGTATTAGAACCTATTTGTAGGTTTTGCTAGTAATGTCTGTGACTGTAAAAGGGTTTGGGTATATGAAGTTGTCTGTTTGTTGAGAGTTGTTTGTTAGTATGTTGTTTGTGAGTAGTTTTTTAATTTCTTTATACTACTGTAAGGTGTATTCTTTTTGCATTTTTTGTGTTTTGTATGATATTGTTGTCTAGTCTAAGATATATATATTTATATAGTTAGTTAGTTGTTCTATCACATAGATTTTTGCTTTGGTTGTTTGTAGCTTATAGGTTGTAGGTAATTTGAGTTTTCCAAGTAAGTTGTTAATAGGTATTCTAGAAAAAGGTAGTAGTAATAGCCAAGAATAAGCGATATTTGCAAGAGTTATATCTAGAGTATGCATTAGTCGTAAAGCTAAAGTAGTAGTCATATTGTTGATTTTTTGTAGTACAATAAAGTTTTTGTATTTTGTAATACTTTGGTTAGTATACGTGATATTTTAGATTTGTAATATGTTGTTATCAGTATTTAGAGTATTGATTAGAGTAGTTGTATGATTTTGTCTTTAAATATTCTATAGGTTATGAAGCCCATAGATATTATAGTTGAGAATTGTTGAGCTTAGTATAGATGATACGAGAATAGCTTTGTACTTGATTAGAGTTATATATTTGTTAGTAAGTTTTTTACATGTAGTATAAAGTAGAATAGTATTTTGAGTTCGATAGGAGAATCTAGGAATGATAACTATGTTAATTATGTATATTGATTGTTTATCTGTAATTTTCTTTCTTTTTAAGCAGTTTGTTATCTGAGTAAGTTCATTAGTAATAATTTTGTGAATAGAGTTGTGTGAGATATAAGTATTAAATCAGCATCTTAAAAAATAAAAAAGGCAGTTTGGTTGAACTGCTGTGATAGTTGTGTTGTTGAAAGTAGTGTCAAGTGGGTTATAGTCATTGTAGACTATAGCCAGTATTGATTTAGATAGATTAATAGTTATATTAGTGAGTGTATAGAATAAGGTTACGGTACTTGTGATTTGTTCTAGTATATGTCTGGTGAGTACAATCCATAGTATATCATCTATGTAGGCTAGTACTAGTTGGTTGAGTAAGAGGTCAGTTAGGTTTGTTGTATGTAGACTTCTAGTTTGCATTGAGTATTCAGAAAAATTGTTACAAATATGAGTAATAAGAGGGTCATAGAATATACATCATAGTATGGGTGTAATAGTTTCTCCTTAATCTAGCCTATCATGCACAGGGTATGAGTTTGTAAATCTCAGATTTGTAATAACATTATTGTTACAGTTTGAGTAGATGTTGATAATAAGATTATGTATAGCTTGTGGAATTTGTAATCGGAAGAGTGCTTTAGATAGAAGTTTGATGTGTACTGAATCATATGCCTTGCTCATATCTTGCAATAAGAGCCATATATTAATAATATTAAATATAACTATATAGCTTAAAATTATACTTTCAATATATTATTTACAGTTGCAAAATTTGTTAGAACAGAAGTTAGAGCATTTTAAAAATACGCCAATTTTTATTTTCTAATAAAATGATCTACAAAAATCAAAGTCAAACATAACACTCCATTAATTAGAAGTGGTGAGTAAATTAGTAATTCTCAGATATCCTCTTTATTCATCCATAACTAACTCCCACATAGGGAGTCACGACAGATAATATTCTGAATCAATAAAATACCCGACTACTGTAATATGACCACCAAATCAGATACGCAGTTCATAGATTAAAATTTATATATCGATACGTATTAAATTTTTTAGGAAATTACTATTCTTACCCCCCTCCCATGTAAAAAAAAATTATTTTAGCCACTTGCCATATGAAATTTGTGTGGCACCCAATATAATATTGATACGTGAACTTGAGCGAAGGCAAATTTTAATTGAACATTATGTTTTAAATGTCATCGTTATCCTTGTAATTTATAGAAAGGGTATGAATAGTAAAAGTGGGAGGTACAATAGCAATATCCATCCTGGTATCTAAAAATTAATAAAAGTTTTTATATATGGGAGGTACAGTATGAATAGCAAAAATGGAGTACAAATAGTATTACTTAAAAATTAATACCTAAACATTAACAGCCAATATTTCAATGAATTTTAAGGCTATCTCGATGATTTAAAGTTAAGAAACTTTAAAATTTAAAGTTCTTTCTTAATTTAATCGAGATAGCCTTAAAATTCATCAATGTATTGGCTGTTAAAGTTTAGGTATAAATTTTTTTTTTTTTTTTTTTTTTTTTTTATAAAGTCAAATTTCTTGGTTTCTACTTTTGACCTATATGGACGACAGCTACAGGAATGCAGGAATGTTATAAGTGAAAATAGTAAAGATTATATACTTAAATGAATAATGTTAGTACCTAAAGCTCGAAAAAAGTTTAGGTTGCTCGATAACAGAATGGATAAAATCCGTATATTTTATTCAAAAGATTTCAAGATATGATAACAATTTCATTATTTGAATTACTGTAATATTAAGAACTCTAAATTATGTCTAAAATAGGCAAGAAAATATTTATTACAAACAAAAATGACAACATTATATAATTTACATTATATAATTATGTTCGTGTATAAACTGCTTTGTTTCATATTATTTCCGGAAAATTATTCTACATAATAGAGAAATTTATTTAGTATAAGTTTTATAAATTTGATCTTATCGTTATAGTCTGACTTGATATTCTCACCATATCTATCTTTTCCACTTTTTCCATTCTTGTTCTCGTTGTAGTTGTTGTTGTGGTTCTTGTTGTTGTTGTCGTTGTAGTTGGCGTTGTGGTTTTTGTTGTTGTTGGCGTTGTGGTTTTCGTTGTTGTTTTTGTTGTCGTTGCCGTTGTGGTTTTCGTTGTTGTTTTGTTGTCGTTGCCGTTGTGGTTTTTGTTGTTGTTTTTGTTGTCGTTGCCGTTGTGGTTTTCGTTGTTTTTTTCCTAACTAATACTTTTTTCCAGTTCTTCTTTTCTTTCTCTTTTCATGAGTATTTTTTTTTTTTAGAAATTTTTCCTTTTTTCTCCTATGCCTCCATGTCTTTGCATCGATTTTTTTATATCTCTTTATATACGAGTTCTATTCAAATATACTAAAAAAGGCTCCAAAATTTGATTATCATTCTTTCAGAGCTAGTGATATTTTTGATTTTTTTTGTATCTTCTTTACTAAGGATGCTTCTCATTTATTCATTCTTTTTCTGATGCCCTTCTATTTGTTCGAAATAGATAGCTTGTTGTATACTTGTTAGATTCCAGTTCTCTTTCTTTCTTTTGTCTTCGTTGAGCTATTTCTATGTTTCTTCTTTAATTCTTTTGTATGCTAGATGTGTTTTTTCACATGAGATAATGTGTTCGATCATTTCCTTTTCCTTAGCATATCTTTTGCATAAGCTATTTTGATATAATTGTGGTTTTTTATGGTTTAAGGCTTCCACTATTGGAAGGAGGTTTTTGATATATTTGATTTTGAACAGTCGCTAGTAGTTTACTTCTGAGTTTTTGTATTGTATACGATAGCTTTCAAGGATACTTTTGAATGCTTTCTAGTTTTGTTTTTGGGTCCTTGCTTAGTGTTCTTCATCATTTTTCTTTCTTACTCATGTCCACTCTGCTTTGTATGTTGTTTGGACTATCTTTTTAATGAAGGCTCTTAATGGAGTTTCAAGACTTAGGCCTTTCCATTCGGGGATATATTTTACACTCTTGTTACTTATGTTATCTAGTTTTATACTTTGTGTTTCATATATCCCTTCTTTTGCAAGCATGTCTGCTACATCATTATATGTATCACCTGAATGACTTTTGACTTTAGTAAATACTAATTGTACTGATTTACTCTTGCAAGCTTTCTTGATTGCATGTAAAATATTGTTGTTCTTGGTTTTTAACCACTCACGTAACTTCTCATTTTTGAGACATTTTTCAATTGTGAGAATTGCACATGTGCTATCTGTTCTTATTTCTACTCTACATTTGTTGGAAACTAATAACACTGCTACTAGACAAGCTACTAGCTTTGTACGAGTAGATGAGAACTAATTTTCTACTCTTCCTTTGTATCTGAAGACTATATTATTTGTACTATCTAATTGAACTACACTATATCCCATCTTCATTCCATTCCAAGTATTCTCTCTACTGAGTGAGCTATCAATGTAAAATACTATTTCCTCCTTTTCTTTGTTTGCCTCTAATCTTTCTTTAAATTTTCTTCTGTCATTTGTATTTTGAATAATTTGGTTAATTAACTCTGCTTCTCAACTTCCTTCAGTTTCGATATACTCTAGGTTCTTGAACTCTTTAAACTCTTCTACTTTGCTTTTTTGGTTTTCTTTTCCTATTTTTTCTAGGTACTTTCTATTAAATACTACTTAAGATGCATTACCTTTTTTCCGAATAAAGCTTGAGATATTGTGAACTTCTTTAAGCACTACTCATTATTTCTGGCTACTTTTCTTTAATTTGTAGCCTTCCCTATAGGTTTCTTGCTAAATAAGTGTTATCTGTTGATCGAGTACCTCTTGTATGTTTCTGTAATCCTCTTCTCGGATTTCTACTTCTGCGAGCTTCTTTTCTTTTCTGATAATACGACTAATTTTATTCTCTTTGTTCTTTTTACCTTTTATAAATACCCATTCTTTTTTCCTTTTGTCTTGTGAAATTTTTAATTCGATTTCTTGTACTTGAAAACCTTTTTTTTTCCTGTATTCTTTGGATACCTCTCTTGTCTTCTCGTCTACTAGTATTTCTTTTTCTATTGCCTCAAACTATTTGGCCTTTCTTCCTGTGTGTTTTCTTCCTTCTCTTACTTTAAGCTATCTTCACGTAATCATTTTCTCTTATCCATTATCTAAGAGCTAATTCACGTTCCATAGGTTTAGCTTGCTTATACCTTCTTGCACCTCTTTTAAGTTACACCTACTAAGTATATTGCTAATAAGACATTTCTTTCCTTCTTGTAGGTTTAAGAAGTTCCAACTTGCTATAAACTCATTTTTTGCAATGCTAAGACCAAGTTTTTTTGTATGCTGCATTATTTTGGCTTCTAAATTTCTATACTTAGTCTTTTTCCAGTTCATGTTTTCTGTGACAAGAATACACTCAGATATATTCATGTCTAATTAGGACTGCCTTAACCTCATTAGTATAGTTGTACCTACGATACTATTAGTATTCATTCTTACAAAGAGCTCAGATATATAATACTCTATATGTTTTTGCCATAGACTAACTACTGCAAAGATCTCTTTATGTTGGAGAGTTGTATTTGCACACATAAACAGAAGCTCCAGTTTTCATTTGATAAGTCTAAGCATAGGTTGGTATATCATATCACAGGATTTTTTCTTAAAACAGACATTTGCTAGAAGGTACTCAAGTTTTGGAAGCAATACTATATTGTTTATGTATACTATCTGGCTTGCTGAGAGTTTTTTGTTATTTAGTATATATGTTAGCTTGCCTACTTTTTTTTGCATCATAGTATACTAGTTCTCTCTTGCTTCTTTAAGCTAATCCAGATATCTAGAAATCTTATGCTTTCTTCTGGTTCCTTAACTTTAACTAAACTTAGTGGTATTCCAATTTCTATATATTCTTCTTTCTTTCCTTACTTGTGGAGTCTCCAAGCTATTGCTTCGAATTTTGCTCCATTAATCTCAATATTATTTAATATAAAGAAACTGTTTAATACTTGGATGATTTCTTGCAGTGTGAGCTGAGATTCTGCTACCCATGTAGTATCATCTACGTATGCTAGTGCTGAAATCATCATTTTTTTGGTTTTATAAATTCGCTTTTCGATTTCTGTCAGCTACTGGAGCTCCATTTTATATCTGATTTCTAGCTGTTGTATTCTTACTAGCAATGGATCATAAAATATTTTCCACATTATTGGAGAAATCACTTCTCCTTGGTCAATTCCATTACTAGCTACAAAGAAGTCTGTTATGCCTTCATCTGTTATCACTCTTATTTCGTAGTTTTGATATAGTTGCTTAATAAAAGTGATCAAGTTTTCTAGAAACCTTATCCTTTTCATAGAGAGCTCTAGAGCATAAATGCTTACTAAATTGAAAGCTTTTCACATATTTTAAAATGCTATCTATAACTCCTTTTCCCTCTAGATTGTATCTTCAATAATGTTGTTTAGGATATGTATTGGTGCCATAGTACTTTCATTAGGCAGTCCTGTGAAATTTGCCCCTTTTAATATCTGCTTCTCAACAAAAACTTTACTTAGTCTTTTTTGAACTATTTTGACTACAAGTTTCCTAAACGTCTCAAGCAACATAATTGGTCTAGTTCTAGCAAGGTTAAATTCCCAGTCTATACTTTTGGAAATTAGATATATTTATCTAAGCTTCTATTTCTTAGGGAACTTTCCTTCATGTACTATTTGGTTTGCAAAATTTACAAAATGTTCTCTTGTTTTATTGCCTACTTTCTTCATGAGTCTGTAGCTGATACCTGAGATTCCAGATGCTGTATCTTCTTTCAATAAATTTGTGACCTCTAACCATTCTTCTTCTGTTATTCTACTCATAACTTCTGCATACCAACTCTCCTTGATTCTTGCTTGCTCCTTATAAAAGCTTATTCATTCTTGGTCAATTTGCTCGAATTGGTAGTTTCTCTTTCTAAATTGTTCTTTGAAATGTCTTTCTACCTCTTTTTTGACTTTGCTGCTTTCTGTAACTAGCTTTCTATGCTCGAATTTACTCTTACTCTGAACTAAAACTCTATCTACAGTGATTTTGTTGTGAGAACATTCGAGTAGCTTGTTTAGCATCTGTTTTTGGTTTTAGGTATTATTGCAAATCTCTCTTCTATTCTCTCTTTGATTTCTTTTTCATTTATAGCTTGCAATTCTTTCTGTATACTTTCTTTTAGAATGTTTTACTATCCTTTAATTTCATTGCAGTATTCCTTATTCCAAAGTTCTAGTAGAGATGGAATATTGATATTGTATTCTGTGTTGAGATGTTCTATTCTTGCATTTAATATTACTCTCTCAAGAGAATCAATGCTTTGCTCTATGTTTTTTGATCCTTTTTTATATATTCTTCCTAGTTCCTTAGCTCTACTATATGTTTTCAATTTCATTGTTTCTTTTCTAATTTGACTTTTAGAGTTTTGCATTATAGTTGAAGAGATATGCTTGCTTGCTGCTGCTTGTATTGCTTTAGCGATTAAATCCTATTCTTCATCAATATCTATTTCAGGTCTTGGCTCTGCTATATCTCTATTTCTACTTTTTCTTTTTTTTGTATTTTTAAGTATCTTTTCTATTTCTTGACTATAATCATTCCAGTTTTCTTCTGTTGCTTTGTGATATTGGTATAATCTCCTTGTTTCTTTCTGTCCTTTCTTGTTACATTGTTTGTTTTTCTCAAAAATACCTGAACTTTCAAGCTGTATCCAAACTAATCTATGATCACTATCTGTTATTGTTGCTATTTGCTCTATATTACTATCTAAAATATATTTCTCATATTTTGTGTTGTCCAGATATGATCTATTCTAGTTGATATATTACTATTTGACTATAAGTACTTGATTAGCTCTGAGTTACAGAGATGGAAAGTTTCTATATGGTCAGTATTTTTTAACCATTTTGTAATTCTTGTACCTGTATCTGTACTTCTTTTTCCTTCAATACTCATGTCTAGCCTTGCATTTAATACTGTATTAAAATCTTCTAGAATCATATACCATATATTCTTTTTGTTCTTAATGATTTCTTCCATTAGAGTCTTGTGAATTCTTTTCATGACTTCTTCATTCTTTGGAGATAGATATACTATTCAGACCTGGAAAACTACTTTTCTAAAAAAAAATTCTGCCTTGAGCAGATATGAGTTAAATTTCTTACAAACTCTCATGTTTCTTAACCAATTCTGATCGACTAGGAGTCTAACTCCTAACTCTTTATGTTTTCC